TTTTTCATGTTATGCTTAAATTAAATTTGTCACCAGCAACATTGAGTTGCATCTTATTTTTAATTCAGTCTTACAATCTGTCTTTTAATTGTGGTTTATAATAATATAAATAAATAAATTTATAAATAATAAATTTATTAAAAATATAAATAAAATAATATGATATAAAATAATAACATTTTGACCAATTAAAATTAATATGATTATAGATAAGATCAGTTTTATTAAGGAGTCTATTACATTGGAGGTCTAGATCTGTAGGTTTCCTTTCTTTTATCCCTGTTTCGGTTGGATATAGTTGGTCTGTCACCTGGTTATATATTTATTCTTGTGTCCCTTTTCATAGAGTTGTAAGGGGACAAATAGATGAGGATGGCGGGAAAACAAGATTAAGAGAATAATTCTATAAAATAAGCCTACTGTACTTACTCCCCAGTGCTTTTTTTTGCCAAAAGGCAATCTGTCTGCAGCCCCACCTTGCCTGACAGAACAGAAAATGACATATTCCTCAACAAATTGAGGCTGGGGGCAGAAGTCCTGCAGTGGAGGTAATGAATGATGGGAATTGAGAAGATGAGGGCTGGTTATCCTAAAAAAGACCATGAGTTGCTCACAGCTAATCTCTGTATTTCACTTCCCCATTCAACTGGTTGCTACCACCTCCACTTCCCAACACCAAAGATGACCTCCTGCCTTTAGGCTAGTACATGGGAAAGAAAGAAAAGGTAGGAGGGATTCTGGGGGTCAATAAGAAAGCAAGACACATCCCCCTTCTGCAGATACCCAGCCTTGAGTCTCCTTCTCTCCTGAGAAGTCTCTCTCTATCCCTCTCTCAAGTACAACTTGCTTTCTGTGCTTGCCTCAGTATTTCTCTAGTGTCTAATCTTCAACATAAGGAGAAAAAAGACCGGATCCTGATTTCCAAGACCAGTATCAAAGTGATCATTTGATTTACCATTCAAACAAGTACACTTTTTGCTCTTTTGAGAGTGAAGGTGAATAATAAACAATATTTGGGGGGGGGGTTAATAGTTATAACATGGAAAAATCCTTAGAAAACGAAGTCACACACATTTTAATATTTTTTTTACATATAATATTTCTTTGTTTGCCTATTTGATCAGACCTCTTGAGTGAACCTGAAGTTAAGAGGGCAGACTGATCAGTAAATACTTATCATCTCATATTTTTTGATACTAGAGTCAAAATATTGTGTTATATGAAACAATTTATAATGCACAATTAAGGTACTTTTATCTTTATCATTGAATGTTTGTCAAGAGTCATTGTAGAATACCTAAGAAGATACAGATGGATGTTTGTTTATCCAATGTTATCCAGTAAAGTTATAGAATTTTTGTAAACTCTTAAAAATATATTTCAACTAAAAAATCAAGCCAGTCTTTGAATTAATAAAAGAGTGTCTCATTCTATGAATTTCTGTGTAAAATTTACTTTAGCATTACTAAATATTTCTAAATGATTTTACACATAAGGATAGAAAACCATACATATATAGATGAGTAAAAGAAGAATAAATATCTATTTTGAAGCCTGTGACAGTCTCAATTATTTTCTTGGATACAAAGTTATCTGAAGATAACTGACTAAATAAGTATAACGTTTTTGTTCATTCATTTTACTTTTATGGTGTTCTCATAAAACTGATCTAATATACATTAAGATTCAGAACATTCTATAAAAACATTAATTGAATCTGACCATTTATCTGTAGTTAACATCTTTTTTACTTAAAATATTTCCTGATATATTTTTTTCATGATTTTTCTTTTCATAAACCTCAAAAGATTAAATTTCACAATTGTAACAAGGGTATTATTCTTACATCTATTTAAAATTTTTTTCTTTTTAAACACTGAAAATTAAACAGTGATTTCTGATTATCTTTATTTTTCCTGTATGTGTCATTTCACTGAGGATTAAGTTAGCAATGACAAATTACTTATAAAAAAAGACTTTGTTGAAATTAGTGCAAGTTGTATATGAATACAGCTGCCAGAGTACAAAGCTTAATCAGTATATTAATCAGTATATAGAGTCTGCAAATTGTATTCATGAATGCATAAGCATTAATGACAAGTGGAATTTTTGAAAAGCAATTGTTTCATTGTTAAAAGGAATCCTTAACTATTATTCAAGTTCCTGAAGGCATAACTTTGATATTTCTCAAGTTGGTTAAAATGCAATTTTACTTTTATGTTCTATTATATTTTTGAAATGGACTCCTAGTTCTGGGAACTATGATATGGAGCTACTTTATTTCAGGGTGTCTTATTCTCTGCATGGAGTGCTCCCTGCCTATCCCTCTTCTATCCTCACCCTTTACCTAGCTTACTCTTTGTTTATCAGATACTATCTTGAACTTGTATTCAAGAATGCCCAAAGAAAATCTTCCATGATTCCTTAAATAATTCTTAAGTAACTTAGGTGTCCCTGTTATCTATTTCCATTGTGACACTGCGGTTTAAGTAACTCATTATTTAATTATTGTTTGCTTTGGTGGTTATGATGTAAATGGTGACAGTGAGAAGTGTTTCTTGCCTCTGAGTCCTAGCACTTAACATATAGTTAGACACAGGGTAACTCCTCGACTACTATAAATTGATTTTGATCATTTATGACTAGAGAGAGGAAGGTGAGTGATTGAAGAGAGGTGTTAATGCTCTACAGAAAAGCATGATTAGTCAGCAGTGTCTAAAATGCCCTCAGTACATGAAGTAAGAGACCTGAAAGCATTTATTAAAGTTGATTATTACTTAAATACTTAGTTTTGTATTCATAAATGTTCATTTGCAACTGAATTGACCTTCAGATACTTTAGTGAGGTTTGTTTGTTTTATTTGTTAGGACTTGGAGCTTATGGGTTTGAAGCTGGACATCCTTCCTCTAATGTCGGTATGTGTGGGAGTGGTGATGGTAGAAGGAACTGTTTCAAACTATTAAGACTAAATAACTTCACTTTTTATTATATAATGTACTGATATTCATCAAAAAGAGTTAGCATGTCTTAGAACAAGTGAGTGTGGAGTGTAACTTTACTGATCAACCAAGTTAACAAACGTTTATTGGTACTTGAGGTCACTGAGAAGATAACTTCCAGAGGAAAGCAGTGAGTCTTATAGTAAATAATGATTGAACCTATTGAGACAATGACTGCCATGTTATATGTGAAGTTCACCTACTAGTGAATCTGCCTTCTACTTTTCATTTGAATTAAATATTATCTCCTCATTCTGTCATTTCAAAAAACAGTAACTCATAGCAATTTACATAATTCATGATATGATTTTCAGTACTGAATGTTTCAGATGCAGATTCTTGGCTTATTCAAGTTATCTGTCTAAATTTGCTTTCATTCAAGGATAAGTCTTATTTTTTAATTTTTTTAGATGAAGCTGAATTTATATCAATGGACAATTTGTTTTGAAAATTTTTCTCAGAATCCATAGAATAATAAGGCATATAGGTGGCATAAACCCCAATAAATAATTTTTCACTGATTTTAATAAAAATATTTGAAATGTTGCCGGTTGCTTCAACTATGTATTTCTTAAATTGGTTATGTGGAGATTGACTGAAAATCTAGACTTGTTTTCTTTTCCAATCTAGCCATTTATTACTTATTATAGACTAGCAATGCTCATTTATTCTGTTCTAGCTTTGTATTACTTCTAGTTTTATAATACCAATTTGTACTGTTCTATAAACACTACAATTAACCTTTGAAAAATGTGGGGGTTAGGGATTGGAATATTCACATAAAAATTTTGAGTGCCCAAAACATACCTACCAGAATCCATATTGATAATATAGTTGATTAACACATATTTTGTTTGTTATAGGTGTTTACAGTGAAAAATATGCAACAACTTTGAGAGATCACTTTTCATTACAATATGAAATTTACTGAAGATAAGAAATGCTCAGGAAGAATTGCTTAGAGTCACAGACAGTTTAGGGACATGATGGGTTATGTGGAGACTACAACCCTTGAGCTCACTGCAATAGTAACAGGGAGTGCCTATAATATTATTACATAAGTGAGTTATTAATGACTTAATTTTATGCAGTAATTATTGAACTTTGTATTTTTTCATGTGTTTATATTTCTCTCTACTGATATGGAGCCAGGGACAATCTCTATATGCTTAAATATTGACAAATTTTGAATTTTTCATAATAGATCTGTTTCTTTTTATGGTAGTATGTAATAGGTTATTATCTATATATTTTATGCTTTTATGCTATACCTACCTTTTTTTTGGGGGGGGGGACCAGGAGTGAACTCAGAGGTACTCAACCACTGAGCCACATCCCCAACCCTATTATGTGTTTTGATTTAAAGACATGTTCTCATTGAGTTGCTTAGAACCTCACAGTTGCTCAGTCTGGCTTTCAAATATCAATTCTCCTATCTCATCCTCCCAAGCTGGGATTACAGGCGGGCACCACCACGCCTGACCCATACCTACCTTTTTGAATACTTTTAGGTGATATGGTTTTTTTTTGTTGTTGTTTCTTAAAGTACCTCAAATATTAAAAAAAAAAAAGAAAAAGATAAAGAAAAAAATTCACATATAACCAAATCTGTAGTTCAAACCTGTGTTGTTTCAAAGGTCAATTATATGCTATAAATATATAAATTATCATACAATTTAAATATGAATTAAAATATTTAAGTTACAGAGAAAAATTACTATGCCAGTAACTTGATGAAAAATTTTCTATGCTGAAATTTAAAATTAGGGTATTTTTAAATTGTGCATTCATTGACTCAAAAATTTTAATGTTATATGATATGCCAAGAGCTTTGTAATGTTTTGAATAACTAATAATAATAATAAAAAAATAATGGTATTAAAAGCGCCAGACAAATGGGGAAAGAGGTCAACTCAATTGAACTTTAATCCCATTAAAGCAAGTATTTTGACTTTTAATGATTACAAAATACTAAGTAATAGTTTTTCTACTTACATGTTTTTGTCAAACTGCTTGTGAAAATAGCCACTTCAATCTACTTATTTCTGTTACAAAGTTGAACTGATCAGGAAAAAAGTATTGAACAAATAAGATAGTCAAGCGATTAATTTAACTTAACTATTATCTAATGCTGTTTAAAAATAAGTTTCTCATCCTCCCCAGTATTTGGGATTATAGGTACCACCACACCTGCCTAACCATCCCATTAATTCTTTCTATTCATTTACTTTCTTTCTTTTTATTTTTTGGGGAGTTGGGTACTGGGACTTTAGCCCAGGGGCAATTTGCCACTGAGCTACAAAGCTAGCATTTATTATTTTTTTATTTTAAGACAGGGTCTCACCAGTTACTCAAGTTACTCAAGGTCTTGCTAAATTGTGGAGACTGGCCTTGAACTTGTGATCCTCCTGCCTCAGCCTCCAGAGGCACTGGGATTATAGATATGAACCACAATGTCCAGTTTCCTTTTAATTCTTAATACTATCTCTAGACTTATAGTTTTGACTCATATCTGATCATGTAAACATTCAATTCCCCTTACTATCAGGCCCGAAATCTTCAGGCTTTAAAAAGGTCATTAATAGTCACTTAAATATTTTTTGGCAATGCATCTTTTAAATGAATTCATTAGGATCTTATCAATTATGTCATAGAGGTAAAAAAATTATTAATTTTTAGGAAACATGGCCTCTTTAATTACTTTTTCTATATTTTTCATAGAAATATTGAGAAAACTTTTTCAAATATGCAAATATATAGAAATCAAAGAAATATTTTATTGGCAATATCACTCATTTGAGACTACATAGAGTTCTAGAGTTATATACCAAAAATTACATGATGATCTACTATCCAATACAGATTTTAAATGCTCTACCATGTGACAACTCATTTAGATTTCCTTTTACTATTATTGAGAATAAAGAAATGGAAAGCATATGATTTGTTCCCAGTTTTATATGCAAATATTAAAATTACTTTCTCAACATTGAAAGAATTTTATCAATTATCACCTTTGTTCCATTCAGGGAAAGTTTTACTCCCTAAGGCAATGCATTGGGTTAAGATCTAGGTAGGTATATTTTTAAAAAAGTTTAAGTAAACCACTATGTGCTTTAGTTTCTTCTGAAATCAGTTTTTAGAAGAGTATATATGAATATTGCAATTTTGCCTGTGCACCCTTGGAAAATATTTGTAGGGTACATATTTGCTGGTGAGTCTAATGGTGAGTCTGGAGAATCAAGTCAATTTTTTTTTATCCTGGCTTAGATCCTTCCTGATTGTGGCACAGTCTCCTCCAGCACAGCTCACCACTGATGCTCAGGGATGGAGTCTCACTCACCTTGTGCTGAGAGCCACAGCCGAGTCGGAATGGCCCCTGGCATTTTGCCAATAGTATTGGTTGAGAGGCAAGCCATTAAGATGATGCTGGATTGATTCGGTTGTATATTAGACCTTTACTGTCCGCCTCCGCCTACTACTTTGGAGTTCTCCTGGGGATTCCTGGATAGTTCCCATTGGTTGGGGAAGTGCAGAAGGAGGGATTTCCGGAAGAGGGATTTCTGGTTGTTGGTTCCTGGAGGAGCCGCTTGGTATTTGGGAGAGTTCCTGGGGAGCGTGTGTGGAGTGTGCTGGTGGAGTTCAGAAATAAAGTTTGTTCCTGCTTCAGTGGCTCATGATTTGTGCCCAGCCAGACTGTGGCAACATTGCTAATTCCTGCATACAAAAAGCATTGTTTAGTCTCTGTGGCCTGGTTAATGTCCCCATCTTCAATTAAAGTCACCACTTATCCTTCAAGTTCCTGCCAAGTTCTTCTTTCACAATGTGGCTTCCCTTGAGTTTAGGGAGCTGAATTTCTCACACCTGTGTGCTCATGATGATCACATGATACTTCCTTCTCCTGTTGCATCGATATTGTTTGTTAAAATTTTTATTAGTCTGCCTTATTTGAGAAGTTCTAGGATGTGCCCTACTTAGAAAATATCTCCATTGTTCAAATTTGAGGTACTCAATCAATATTTGATTAATGAATAATTTAACTAAGGTAAATATTTAAATACTCATTAGAAATATTATATATTCCTAATGCTATATAAATTTTATTTTATAAACTCAGTGTTTCACTTTATAACTTAATTCATTGTTTTATTATTTCCATAATTTCTCTATATTATAAAAAGTTATGTTTAATATGATTTGTGGGCTTTATTTTAAAATACTTACCATATATTATAGTATTTTACCTTGGTACATTTGGTTTTTTATTTTTTATTTGGGTTATAAAATACAGTAGAATCCAAGCTTATGAGTAGGCATTGTTCCAAGTGTTCATTTTTAAGTCAATTGTTTTGATTTTAGTATTTTGGTTCCCAAAGAAATAAGGCCATAAATGGCAATTAAATTGCAAATCAGTCAAGCAGAGCCTGTTTAACCTATAATAACCTGAAATGTGGTATAATGGTACTATTCAATTTTATTTAAAGTAAAATCATAACACTGGGAAGAAGGACAATTATTCATTTTCTCTAATGAACTGTATTCTGATTTATTGAATTTCAGAAACACCTTTGTAGGGCTATTGAAGTTTATTTATATGGGTCGGGGAAAGCATAAAGAGAAGGCGGAAGGAAATGTGGTTTACTTGTTGCATCTCAAAATCTGCCCGTGGAATAGCAGCAGTGTTATCACCCAGGAGCTCTTCGGGGAGAATCTCAGGCTCATCCTGGACCCACTGAGTCACAATCTGCATTTTAATCAGATGCCCATGTGATGGGCGTGCACTGTGATTGGGATGCCCATGTGATTGGGATGCACTGGGGAGCAATTTTTTAAAGTCTATATTTGAAGAGGGACAACATTGCTGTCTAACAACTCTTTAATAGCAAGAACTACTTGACATCATCAATTTCTGGGAATTACTAATTCAGAGCCAAAGAATCTAACTTGGCTCTATGAAAGGATCCAGGTCTTAGTCTTTCCTGCTCTCTACTGGACTATATTTCTCTTCTATAAAAAGGAAATTTTGGGGATAATTCAAAATTGTTTAGATTAAGCATAATTACAAATTAGCAATTTCACTTTTAAAAAAGTAACATCAGTAAAAACACACACTAAATGTGTTTGTAATCTTTTAAACAATTGAGAAGATACTTTAGATTTAAACAGGTGGAATAGTTTAAAATATCTGACAGTACTTATCCATCAACAATTTGTAGATACTTAGAAAAATAATAAAAAGTTTTACAAATTTTATTAATAATATACTCCAAAGTTTATGTACATATGCATTTACATACCACTATAATTATTCCAGAATAAAATATTAATAGGCATATAAAAGTACAACACAGGACTTGGGGTGTAGCTCACTGGTAGAGGTTTGTCTAGAAAATGCAATGCCCTGGGTTCAATCTCCAACACTGCAAAACAAACAACAACAAAAATCAGCAGAGCAAGATAATTACCCACAAATAACTTAATGAAAGGAAACAAAAACACAAGAAAATCTTCAAATTTATGAATAAATGACGAACACCTAAAATTCAAAAATTGTATTGTTTTATAGCCAGGCATGGTGGCATATGACTGTAATCCCAGCAGCTCCGAAAGCTGAAGCAGGAGGACCTCAGTGTCAACACCAGCCTCAGCAATAGCAAGGTGCTAAGCAACTCAGTGAGACCCTGTCTAAGTAAAATACAAAATAGGGCTGAAGATGTGGCTCAGTGGTTGAGTGCTCCTGAGTTTTATCTCTAGTACTCCTCCCTCCCAGAAATAAAAATTTATTGGGTTATGTTTGACATTTAAAAAACAAAACAGATCAAGCTGTTATTAGAGATATAGAAATAAGGTATGTTCATTATACACCATGTATTTTAATATCTTGATGAAAAAGACCTCTGTTCTCTTTTTGACTGTTTTCTGAATGTATCATTTGAAATTTGTTTTCAGATCTCCTAGGAAAAAAAAAGCAGAATTTAACAAATGTAATCTGTAATTTAGTTGTTTAATCCAGTCTTCTTGTTCTCTGGTGCCTAATTATTATTAGCATTAGCTGGAAAGACAGATGATGCAGAACTAGAGAATATCTCCTTTGAGCTTTACTAATGTTGAGTATATACACTGTGAGGAAATATAATCAATGTTTAGTATAGTGTTATATTTAGTTAATCAATGTTTTGTGTAGTGTTATATTTAGTTTCTGTTGGATACATTTCCTTATGTTATTTGAGAAATGATTGTATTCCTGATGTCTTTTGAGAATATAAACATCTTTTTAAAATAGAATAAATTATAATGAAAATAATAAATACTAACAAGATATTAATAGTGTCCTCTTTTTCTAAGTCTAATTTGCTGAATTCCTATCTAAAAAGTGTAAAATATCTGTTATAATGAAACAGGCTAAAATCAAGTCCCTTAATTCTGGGATATATCATGGTACAATGGAAACAGTGCTTATTATGGTTCGGATATGAGGTCATCCCCCCAAACTCCTGTTAATGCAGGAATATTCAGAGGTGAAATGGTTAGATCTTGAGAGCAATAACCTAAACAGTCCATCATAATTTGAGTAACTATGTGGTAACTCTATACAGGTAGGGGTGATTGCAGGAGGTGGGTTACTGGGGGTGTTCCCTGGGAGGATGCATCTTCTCTGTGACCCTTTTCCCTCATCTCTTGCTTCCTTGCTGCCATCAGGGGAGTGGCTTCTCTATGCCACAGCCTTGCCTCCATGATATGCTGCTTCGCCTTGTGTCAAGACCTATGGAATCAGCTGGACCAAGATCTCTGATATCATGAGCCCTGAATAAACCATCCCTCCTCTAAGTTGTCCTTGTCAGGTATTGTAGTCACAGCATTGCAAAGGTGACTGAAACACTGCTATCCTAGGAAAAAAAGAAATGACCACAAATCTTCCTGTGCATTTTCTAGTTTTATTACTTTGAAGAAGCCATCTGATGACTCCTGGCCTGGAAGCAGTCTCTGAACTAAGGTACTGCCTTCGAAATCTTTCTAGATTTAGATTTATAATTAGGAAAATGTGTTATGAAATTCTCATATTCATATATACACAATTTTATGTTTATCTCTGTGCAATACAGACTATATTAGGTATTAAATATAACTCAGAATGATGTTTCTAATATTAAATACAATAGTTAATATTGATTTTTCTTGAACTAACTTTTGTAGTGTAATAGCATTTTAAATATAATATAATATATGAATTAAGAAACAAAGATTCAAGATTTGTTTTTTAATGTCATATATATATATTTTTACAAAATGTTTGTATTAATCTTATAGCTAGCAGATTTCGAATAGGTTTAGTTTTTACAGTGATCATAATTTAACTTCATGGACTTGTTCTGGTACCAACTGAAATATTAACAATAAGTCGGTTAGAAAACTTCTCCTTTTCTAAACAGTCTGTGACATGGAAAAAAAATTAATTTGTCTACCATTTTAAAGATTAATTACCTGATAACTAAAAATCTTTTCTCAAACATATTTCCTGAGATTGCAATTTAAATTATACACAAACTCATGGTGCTACCGGACTGGGCACGTCTCAGAAATTGAAAGCATCATGAAGTATTCCCCTCCTTCAAACCTCCAATTCTTGCAGTCAAGTCAGAAAGATTTCAGAAATGTGTTCAGAGTACCAGGCATATTTTTATTGGGAAAAAAAATGGAAATGGGAAAGAGAACACTCTGAAGGGAAAAAGTGGGACCTCTCAGAGGAGTGGAACAGCCAGCCTTTCCTGCCTTTCAGTTTTAAAGGAGTTTCATAGAAGTTCCACCATGTCTACCTCTTGACTTTTGACTGACAACAGGATAACAACAAGTCCCCACTGTAGTGACAATTCTAGGTTACTTTGACCAATGTCAACTAGTTCTAATTAAAACCTGTTCTTATAGGTTTTATGGTCAGAAAGAATTATCCTTATCTTCCAGAATCTGATATTTCAAAGGGTCACAAAAATCCCCTCTTCAAGGTAACATGTGTTCCTCTTATTGGAATTATTTCAGGCCTGCATTTCTCTTGCAGATGACAAATAGTTTGCTGAGGAATGTAACATATTCTGTCAACTTAAGCCAGACAGTGCTGGAAGTAAATTGCTTTTTTAAAAGTGAAATCATGTGGGGAGTCAGTAAAGGGGGCACATTTAATAGAATTATTCCCTTAATCTCATGTTCCCACCACTCATGTCTGTCTGTTCCTATTAATGGGAAACCTTAACTCTACAAATACTGGATAAATTCAAAATTCTGCTTTTGTGAAAGAAAGAAGTGTCTTGCTCATTTGTATTTCATAACTAAACTTAAAAGAAAACAGGTTATGAAGTTTTTTGAAAACTTTCTATATAGACATAAATTTGAGATGTATACTATATTTACTTCTAAACTGTAAATGACTGACTTTATAATATTTGGCAATTATCCACTTAAAATTTCTTAATGTAGTTTTACGTTAAGAAAATAATATGAATAAAACTTTAACTAATTAAAAATAAAAATAATTGCTATAAATATTACTGTTTGATTTTTAATAAACAAGAAAAATGTTTATCCTTTCAAATAGATGGGAAACTACATGATTATAGTGAGGTTTACCTATTAGTGAAATTTACTAGATGATGAGTATGTGTATTAATGATCGGCACATAATCAACATTGTATTTTTACTGGCACTTTTTTGTGCACCCACTAGCATGCTTCTTAAGGGCAAAGGATCATATTTGATTTACTTTTTTGCTCCCATCACTTTTCTCAAAGCATAAGATTGTCAAAATCATATGGGTGGATCTTCATTTGCTGTTTTATTTACGTTTCCAAAAGATTACCAAAGACACCTGCCTATTTTTATCTTTATCTCTTTTTTCTTGTGAGTCATTTTCTCTTTTATAGATCTTTTTTTGTAATAAGAGAGTATTATTTTTTTATTAGTTATACAAATTTTTACGGTTCATATTGACATAATTATACAAGCATGGAATACAATTTGTTCTAATTCAGTCCCTAGAACTTCTCTTTCCCTCCCCTTCTCCCTTCCCTATTTCCTTACCTCTACTCTACTGAACTTTCTTCTATTTAAAAGTTTTTACTTTGGATATACATGAAGGTGAGATTCACTGTGGGCGTATCCATGTATGTATGTAGAAAAATAAGGTCAAATTCATTCCATCCTTCCTCTCTTTTCCCCCTCAATTCACTTCCTCTACTCCACTGATCTCTCTTCTGTCTTCATGGAATTCCCTCTTTCTCCTGCTTTATTTTTCTTTTTCCCCCCTTACTTTGGTATAGCTTATACATATTAAACAACAACAAACCCACTTTGACTTCTGTAGATCTTATTTTCATGTATAATGTTATAATGTTTCATGTATAATGTTATCTCCATGGTCCTAGAAAGTCTCTGTGCTTCCTATTGTGTAACTAGTGGGAAGGAAATACTTGTTCGTTGCAGTATGTGAGTGGTACAGATTATAATTTACTGAAATACGGTTACATGGGTGAGACAGTAAAGATGAATCCCTAGGTGAAGGGGCAAGGGTTAAATTTTTTTTTCATGGTTCAAAGTAATTTTTTTTTGTCTGCTTGAACAATTGAAATGATTTGTAGTACTTTAAGAATGCTAGAGTGTAGTACTTTATTGTGATTACATATATTTTTTAAGAATTTTTATCCCACTAGCATAGGCTCCTTGAAAGGAATTACCTGGGACAATGGACTTGAATAATTTAGGTTCCTTAGTATGTATTATTCCAGTACATTCTTGAAAATTTGGGGTCATCTCATATTTTGACATTTAAACATTTTACTGTTTATTGTTCTAATTTATTTCTGAAGTTGATCATTTCAAGTTGCTAAATATTTGTGCTTTGTTTTCTAAAAATTCTACACTTTCCATAACTAGAGGTATCTGGAAATCAATACTACTCCAATATTTCTTCACTTCTTCTTGCACCACTGTTGTTTCTTTTACTTTAGAATTTTATTTACTTTTAAAAAGTCACATGTTCTGCAAAATATTCTGTCAAATATCTTTGCTTTGTCCTATTTTCTGATGTTTCTTATGCATTATTTTAATGCTTAGGTTCTCTAATTCATCATTTTGTGCTCACCATTCTACATTTTTTAATTTTGTTGGTAGTCATTCTCAAGTTCAAAAATTTTCTAGGACTTCCTTATTATCATTAGGTAGAAACTTCTCTGCTTGATAACAAAGACTTTCAGCAAAGAGTATCTAACTCCCATTTTTCTAGTTTACTTTCATGTATGTGTAGGTTATATCATAGCCAATCTGAATTATCTGCATGAATCTTCCTCAGAATTTATCAAATATATTCTCACATTTTTGTCTTTGTTGAACTTGGTCCCATTCTTTTGACAGGTTTGTCCTGTTAACTTTAATTAGAACCCTCAAGGGATATATCAATTTTACATTTTTTCATGACAGCTAATTTGATCCTCAGTGAGAATTTGTTGGAACCATCATGATAACATGCCCTGTTATATAGAAGTTGCCCTCATTTAATCTACAGTAATGATGTCAGTGCCTCAAGGGCTGGTCCTGTCCTCTTCTCACAGCACTGTGGGCCTTTCTACATAATGGAATATCATATACACTCAGGTTTAAAAAAACTTAGGTTTAATTGAATTAAACCTAAGTGGTAGTTGGTTAAATCCTGTTTTATTGAAAAGCTTGAATTAAATCCTGCAGGAAAAAGTCCCCAAATTTCTCATGGGTTTTCATGTTTGATTTACACATTGAGCTAGAAGCTTTGGAATTATTACTGCCCTGGCTTAGAAAATATATTTATAAACATTCCTTTGGGAAATGTATCTTTCCTTTCCTTTAAATAAGATAGACCCATTGCAAATAATTCTGCAAGTAACTCTTTTGTAAGTCATCATGTGCTTTGAGTAGTAAGACTTCAAAATCCAATTAATATTTAAAGAGGACAACTTGAATATAAGGCATCATGAAAATATTTCTGCTTGGAGAAAATGTAATTTGACAATTTTTAATAGGAAGTGGACTTTCCAGAGACCTCTAAAAATAGAAGTAACAAAAAATGATAATAGGAGATAAGAGAAAATCAATAACTAATATTTTAATTAAAAAATGGTATTTCTAAAATGATGATGGGGAGAAAATATTTGCTTCTGACTGAGATGCAGTAACAGTGGCTGGATTTATCTGACCACCTGGAATAATGAACAAAATATGAAATGAGCTGGTATATCTGTATGTGTATACACACACATATGTACACCTGTACACATATGTGCCCACATATGTCTATGATATGTGTACATGCACACCAGAAAATGACCCTCGAGAAACAGCAACAAGATCAAGTTGAGTCAGATGATTATCCAAGCTTATTGCTTTGAGAGAATTTTCAAGCTGTGGTAAAGATAGGGTGAATCCAGGAAAAGCCTGGCATATGATAGTTGAGAAGATGGAACAGACAGTGTGCAGAGGTACAAAGTGTCTAAAATTTATAGGACAGAATACTAGTAAAATGAAAACTGAGTAGAATCTTCAAATTTTCCCCAAAATTCAGATGAATGTAGATCAGAACATGCAAATGAGGAAACTTTGTAAGACTGAGGAAATAATGACCTTGCTTGGTGCTCACCTGGGCCTGGAAAGAATGATGATTACCACAGTTCCAGTGGAAAATATCATGATTCACAGTAAAATTTATATAATATACAGAACATTTCTACCCCAGTAGTGGGGAACAATTAGACTGAGCTTAGACTGACCACAGCTCAGATCTTCCCTAACAAATAATAAAAAGCAATACCTGCCCCAGGCAAGCAATATCACCACCTCCTGATAATCAGGGTCAATTATGTTTGACATATTTGATAACCCTTTTTGCTAACTGATCCTTAGCTACATTTCTTTTTGAAAGTGATACCCTTTGGTGGAATAGAACTCTAAACCTGTGGAGTTCTAAACTGTTGGTATAG